TATATAATCCTTTTAACCTGTGTGATTTTCTGGAACCCCAATGACTCTAAGAATTAGGTACAGTGTTTATACCGATTAAATCCATCTGACCATATACAATTTTTTTTTTTATAAGAACCAGTAAGATTTTTCCCAGGCTCAGTGTTCTTATTTTTTGGCCGATTTCAGGCTCAAAATGTTCTTAATTTTTTCTTATTTTACACCCTTTTCAAACATAGAAAATTATTATTGTACAGCAAAAATAGGCCCTGAAAAACATGCCCTGGAAAAATTTCCCCAGAAAAAAAGTCTGGTAAAAATGGCCCAAATGACAGTACACCTGATTATAGGGGGTATTACATAGTCACACCTACATTACTGCACAAAAGGTACAGATATAATTTTTTGGTTTTTCAAAAACCTCATTTGACATTTTACCTCAGCCTCAATTTGTTCTTATTTTGTTCTTAATTTTTAAGCAATTTCAGCCTCGACAGTGTTCTTATAAAATGTGTTCTTATAAAAAAAAAAGTGTACCTATAATTAACACTTTGTGAATAGGCCTATTATTATAGGCATAATATTTTCTTGAGCCATACCGGTAAGGATATGATGTCCTGTAAGGTAAGACTCTTTAAAAAAAATCTTATTAATATGGGAGGGTCCCTCCTGAACATTTCCCACATTCCCTCATCATTTAACAATATTGAAAAGTATTGAAAATTACAAAGGGCCGCCACTCGTATTGCTTACATACGCGGTGGTGGCAATTATGACGATCGTCCATCATATCCAGAACGTTTACGTTGTAGGCCTATAACCTTTTTCCACTTGCAGTTAGAAGGAGTGTAGCTAGAGTCTTGTTGGCATCCCGTTTCTATAAAGGCTTCCCAGAGGACATTAATGTTCCTTTTTCTCATAGTAACCATAATCTCGTCTTACTCGGCCATTGTGTACGCATAAATCATTTGAAAATTCTACATACGTGGAGGCTCAGGAACATTTTCCCTGTGGTAATCAGAAACTCAGTCGTTTAAACAAAGCCTGCTGTGGCAAGACAGCAACAATTAAATATAATAAATGTTTTGGTCGTTGTTGCTTCGCCAAACCTGATCTTGCCTAAGGGGTAAGCTGTAGATTGTAATAAGGTAGAATAATTAATATATTCTGCCTTATTGTAGTCTACAGCTTATCTTTTCAATATGTTTTATTATAGATAAATTTATGCTTTTTTTCCGTGAAAAATTTATAAAATGTGAAAAATCTATTTAAATTCTTGTTTATCCTTGTTTGTTTACAGGTTAGCGTTTTAGAGAGAATTCATTCCGTGTCGGGCTTTAGCCTAGCCCACTATTTTCCTCTGGGCTCCGCTAACCTGTCTTTTTGTCCTTTTTGTGTGTGTTGTATATATAAATATGCCGAATTTGTAATAAATAAAACGAACACCAGCGACTCAAGTCGGCCATGGGGGAGATCTGCTCTCTGCCGTGAACATTTGCTTATAAACAAAGCACAAAAGATATTATCAACTCAAACTCTAAATAAAGGTCTAGGCCTATTGAGGTTTCATTCTCTTTAACTGATCATAGATTTGATGCACCGGCACTTTTACTTCCATTTGTAATCATTTTTCAAGCCCCCAGAAATCTAGACTCAAAAATACTGCAATGAGTGTTTTGTGCGAGTAAAATAGTTCTACTATTAGTTTACTATAGTAAAAACTCGAAGTAGGCCTATACTACGTATGTTCATGACGATAAAGTATCTATATCTATTGTATCTGTAAAGGAGCTTATAATAATACACATGAATCAATATTCCGGCCCGGAAACCTAAGCGTCCAGGATGGTACTATGGATTACTTTTTAGTAATTAGGCCTATTTATTATTTGCCTGTATTTATTATAGACTCGAAACCTAGACTCAGAAAAACAGGATGGTGTTCAGTGGAGAATAGGTCTAGGTGATTACTTCAATAAAAGAGTAATAATATTATGTTTATTCTTTACAGCTTAGCCTTGAGGGCCCATTATATGCGAAGGGCCCCGACTGTACACTCGAGAAACAGGGCTCCTTGAAACCTAACTACACCACTGATGTGTTTTTGCTTGGTTTCCAGTTTGGAAATTTACGCATTAGCCCGTTCCGCTAAGCCCCATTCCTTGAATAATTAAGTGCTAAGGTTCGCCACACAAAACGACACGATACGTGAACTCGCGCGTTCGTGGGACAAGCGCGTTCGTAATCCTGGCCCTGTTCTGATTGGTCGTTTAAGTTTGATTGACACTCCGGAAAAAAGTCCACTGTATCTAAAGAGAATTGTAAATAATTTGTATTCGTATGTAATATATTAAATCATGTGAGGAAAAACAATTGCTTTGATTTTGTTTGATAAAAACGTACAATGCTTTAATGGACTCTTGACACAGTTATCGATATATGTACTTGGCACTACTCTCGAATCAGATAATAACGCTTTCAATACGGATGTGATACTGAATAATGCGCACTAACCTTCCAGCTGATGGCAAGATAAGGAAAAGGATGTATTTCGATTAAATACTGTATTCAGTCGTTGGGAGGCCTGTATTATTACAATTAGTATATCGCCTTTAAATTATTTGTTAATTTATTATTTATTTTTAGGCCGAAGGAGGGGGAAACACAAGATTATGTTAATGCGAACCAATTCTAAATATAATGCTGAGAAAGTTATTTTGGTGTTGTCTTTGGTGTTGTTACGTGTTACATGTATAGCGCCTTTCTTTTCAGTTACGAAGCGCTGAAGCGACTCTCCACAATATAAGTCAAAACATCCCCCAGAATAAAGCTTGCATAGAACCAAACCCAAGGAAAGTGTGCAAACTTAACTAATGTGTTTGAGGGAAATCGTGTGCGTCATTGAAGTCACGCACTTTAACCAAAAAACTCCATTATTCGACACTTCGACAACGAGTATAATAATTCTTTAATTGCGAAGTCTTTGTAAATCGTGGTTTTGTTCATATAAATCGAATTAGAATTTAGACGGGCCTAAGGAAGGAATTCACAATGGAGTCAACACTACCTTAGACTCGCTATGATTGGTAGGAAATGTTATAGATATAGCACCAGATAGCCGAAAACGATACTCTCAGAATTTGTCTTTATTGCCATTAATTTTAAGGGACGGGCCGAGCTTTACCTCCTGGTACTGGTACCACAATTACGTCACATATTAGTAGTAGCGCTCGGGTGAGAATCTAAGCCTTACGTGATGTGTATTAACTTCATATACCTTACACCTGTGAATGTCTCTGCCTTGGTGGTAGTGGTTTACATAATATCAGGGGTGGCGCCAGGACCTTCCCGACGGAGGGGATAAAGGCCCCGACAGGGGGGATAGTGGAGCGAATCGAGTCTCACTTGGCTGGGGCCAGGGGGCCGCCTAGGGCCCCCGGTGGGGGCCAGGGGGCGAAGCCCCCTGGAAGCCACGGATATTTAATGAATTATGGCGAATTTTTATTACTTATTTGATAGGCATCGAGTTACTATAATATGACTTCATGTAGGCTATGCTTTCTAATGTTGACATCAGCTTCCAAAACCAAAACATTTTGAATAAAGCAAGA